ATTCCTATATTGCACTTACATATAATCCTTTATTGCACTTACATATAATCCTATATTGCACTTACATATAATCCTATATTGCACTTACATATATTCCTATATTGCACTTACATATAATCCTTTATTGCACTTACATATAATCCTATATTGCACTTACATATAACGACGTATTTGTATAGAGGTTTTATACTTTAATCTTTACATGTGTTAGTTTTTCTATATATACAGACTCCAGTTTTATTCGTATGTCTTTTATTGTGCAATGCGTTTTGCATTTGGCCTTTCTGTCTAAAACGTTGTTCTGAAGTAGCATCAAAGTAAATACATACTGCTTTTACGCTTCTTTTTCTCTACAATTCTAAAATTAATTAACATGAGTGCTGCGTAATGCTTATAAATAATCATACACCCATAAATATATACATATATATATAATACTGTATTATTTACCAGCTCTGTATATAATTATGTAATTCTATAAAAGTAAAAATTGTCTACCAGCAAAACTTAAACTGTTATATATACTCTTGTATTGTTCTATCAGTTATATATTTTGTTTCTTGTGCTCTATACATCATTCTGTATACATTTATCTGTTGGGTCTCCACAGGTAACTCTGCATCAAACAGGTAATCAGATGACTCTTGATAAAGAGTTAGGAACGTTTACAAGTCATAGACACACGTATATATATATATATATATATATATACAAGGTTAGAGTACGAAATAAAGTATTGATGGAAGGGCATTCATCAGGGCTATATTGTCATATTATTTGGCGCTACTTAAGTAATGTGATTCCACCGATAATTGATTCCATTGGAGAATGGTATGTTTGACGTGAAATATTCATAAACTCAGATCATGAATATGTGTTGAGATCGGGGATTTAGAATTTGCACAATGCGAATGGGATCTCTTTGTATTCAATGGCGTTGGAAAACAAATAAATGAGGATCAACTTGAGAAACCGGGACGATCCAGAAATAAAGCTGCAAAAGTTGTACCTCAGCCGTAGTAAGCAAAATTCGGCTTTTGTACCCCAGGCAGTTGCAACATAATCACGAATGATCTCCGTCTATAAAAGCTACATAAATTGTTCCGCGTTCAACCATCTCATATCTCAAGCAGCTGGAGATTGAAACGGATATTCATGCTATTTTATTGGAAGACACCCGTCAATTCATCTATGGATTTATATGCGATCAGACCGTAGAAACGGGCGCTGGAAAACAGTCGTTGTCGTACGGTTGATGGATTATGGAAAGCATACAGTGAAGAAGAATGTGTTTTAAACAAACAGTCTTACGACGGAGCCTTTAGCAATGGTAATTATGCTACAGGGTTATTGTCATGTTGCAAGGTCGTCAGATAGATGGTAAGAAGACGTGGTGTCATGGACTGTAACGACGTGGTGAGGCCTCAAAATCCTTTGTATATGTATATTTACTTAAGTTTTTTTTCTAAATAAACATGTGTGGTACTTAGAACATTTCTGAAAAATGCAATAGAAATTCTAATGTATTTTGAACATTGTTTTACTATTATAAGTAAATTTACTAAAAATAAATTGAATTTTAAAGGGTGTTATAAAACAAACTTATGACTTATTACTATCACAGTTCTATGCATATGATGCTTTCAGGTCATATGGGCTCAAAATGTTAAGTAAGTAACACTGATCTTATAACAAACATACTCTATACATCATTTTGTCTTGCGGTTAAGAGCCTTGACATAGATGTTTCTATAAATGATTAAACAACTGACAGTTAGGTACTCTTCACATAGAGATTCTATTTCCATGTTTGGCTTTTGTGGACCAAATATTTCAATGACAGAGGAACCTTTTGTACAATTATTGGTAAAATCTTCAGATAAAAAAGATAATTTATAATTTTGGTTTTAAATGCTAAATAAAGAATTAAAGGCCAGGAGTGGAAATAATTATAGATTCTAGAGAAATTCACAAAACTAATTAGCCAAATTGATAATTGTGTACATCTTTACTTCTAGTGATATATATAAATATATATATTTTTATACTATTTCTTATATTTTCTTCCTTATAATATTACACAGTGTTTTATAATTTCATTATTATATTATCTATAAACAGTTTTGAGCTATATCATATTTAACATTACGAACTACAATTAGCAGTTACTGAGTCGTACAATAATGTATTTAAATACTGTCTCTTAAAAAACTGACCAGCACAAGGGCCTGCTAAAGGTCCCACGCAGATCTTCAAGAAAGCTACAGCTGTATCTTTGTCTTCTTATGTACGATGCTGGCTTCCAGTTTTGAAAGAAATGACTATTTCTAGTACTTCTTACTTACCGTAGTAAGCTAAAGACAACCGAAGTCTTGTAACAGAGCTTCGCTGACAGTCTACACTAGTGAGTGTGTGCGCGCGCAAGAGACGAACGATTGTCGAAGTGACGCGCTTTATCACGCGGCATGAACTAACAGCTGCGCGAGGTCTGAGCGCGTGTTAAGTCCTGCATCCCAGACCAGCTGGGGGACGTCCTACTACTATAAGCAGACTGATGATGTTGACAGAGTGCTCTAAAAGCGTTCAGCGAACAATTCCGACTGCGCGATCTGTTCTACTGTTTCATTTTGCCAGCGCTTGACGTTTCTTGTCACTATTTCATGACATCACTCTAACAACTTCCTGAAACTATTCAAACTTTTCTTTCTCTAAGCTATATACTTCTTTAATTTCTTCTTTTCCCTCTTTCTTCCAAATACTCTCTTTGTAATCAACCATTTGTATAAAATTACTACTTGCAGAAAGCGATACAACCATTTTCACTCCGTTTTTGTTGTTGTTGTTGTAGTGATCAACGTTTCTGTTATCATCTTTGTCAACTAAATGTATAACAAAATAAAACTCTAGTACAAATGTATGACATATTTTCAGTAGAAAATACAATATTTCCAACAGTACAGCTGTATAAAAAAAGCTTTGCCGGTCATGTCTTGCACCACCTTAATGTATATACAAAAATACTTAATCAGAGATTATAACAATGTCCTATATATTCGTCACATGAGAACTAAACACCAGAAGATTTCCTATGTGTCTGATTAACTCATTGTTAGATTTTACAAATCCCTTGGCCTGTAGCTAGATTATAGTTATATGTTCACATACTCCATTTGTGTAACAAAAATCATATAGCAAGTTCTATTATGTTGAGTGTACTTAGTAAGCGTAGGTTTTCACTTATAGTTAATTAACAAACTAGGCGTTATACAAGTAAATTGTTTTTTTTCCATTTTTCAAAAACAAAAGGGAAAAAATGTTTTTAGAACGTTTATAAACTTTCGAACAACATTAGATACTGAAGAGTATCGACCAGAGTGTGCCGTGAAACCAACATCTCCTGCTACTGACGAGAAAAATTCACTACAACGGATTGCTGTTACCAGGGGGATGAGTTCTATAAAAAGTCTCCAAACTGTGCCGGATCCTATTACATACATCAGTGGAAACAATTCTCATACTTTTACCGTTACATGATATCAGAGAAACAAAGATTTGACTACAAATCATCTTGTTCATGAAATCTGCTATATATAGATATATGCTTTTGTGTGTATGTCGTGTATGGTGTCAAAGAAACATAACTAAGCTTTAAACTCATGATATACGAGTAAAGAATTAGATGTGTTAAAAAAGTTGTGTTCTATATGTATACCTCTATATCCATCATGTATATTTATATCTATTTTTCTATACAGAGCCTGAAATGTAATGCCATGTTTTAGATGGAGAACTTTTATTGTTGTTATCAGTCAATTTTCCAACTATACAAACGTTAGTATCGATAGATAGTTTTGTTCCATTGATTTTCACTCCTATCAACTCAAAATTTATTAAAGAACATATATCTATCCCGTTTCCTTATCTTGTTTCTTCTAGTCTCATCTCTATATACGGCTCGTGCAATTATATTTCATATTGTGTGTCCTCAAAAAGTAGTTTCTTTTTATCAATTTCAAAGAGAAGTCACAGCAAAAACACGAAGACATAAAACAAAAATAGGAAATAACAACCTGTCTAATCTTTAACCAAAAGTAAAGGAAAGGGGATTGTAAAATAAGACAAAAACAATTAACATTGTTCTGTTAATGGCAAAAGGTAAAAGATAGAATGAAAATTGATAAAACATAATGTGTTCGAGTTGTTTTTATTTACTTTTATTTTTAGTATTACTACATAGTAATGTGTTTGCAAAAATTTGTGTAGTCATTTTTAAAAGGCTTTGCGTGTGATCTTGTCATATCTCTCAACTCTGGTTGGTTTTGACCGTGACTACAGTCTCTTCTTGAGTTTTCTTGTTCTGGAATTTTCTTTATGAAACACAGAATACTACACTCATCACCTATCTTCTATTGTGAATAAGGCTTAGCTCTTCTTTTTCTTTATAGCTACCTAGCTTATATGACCACGGTCAAAAGTTATTTGTAGAGCTCAAAAACAAACACTTCGCTGGCCTCCTACTTAACAAAAAAAGTTCAATTTATTATCCAACGACAAATTTTGGGGTGGGGGTAGAACGGAATTTTTTTACCCCAATCTATTTCTCTCAAGAAATAATTTAAATGCATATCTTCCTATTCGTATGATACAATGCGAAAAAAAGTTATATATTAACAGGATTAGTGTGAACTAGCTCCATAAGAAAAAATGTATTTAAATCGTCTGGTTACTATTTAATATATTATGATCCACACGTAAATATGGTACATTAAACACGTAAATGAGGAAAGTTTTTTTTCGTTTGTTGTTAAGCGCAAAGCTACAGAATGGACTATCTGTGCTGTGTTCACCATGGGTATCGAAACTCGGTTTTTAGCGTTATAAGCCTTCAAACTTAATGCTGTGCCACTGGGGAGCAAGTGAAGAGAAAAAGGAAGACAGTCATAAGGATCGCTCCCAACATTTAAGTTCAGATTTTCTTTTGTCAATTTTTATTCCTTTTTTTTCTGCCCTAAGGCACTGTGTGATAGTTTGGAAAATGAAAGTGGGAAGGGTGAAGCTCATAGCAGCCTACTCTATACCAGTATTCATCTAAAGATTTAATGTTCAGTTTTAACACTATCTTTCTATCATATACTCCCAAAACTACTAAGAATTAACTATCTTTCTATAATATACTCCCAAAACTACTAAGAATTAACTATTAAATTCAAGAGAGACAAGCAAGCGAATTTGAAGAAAGTTACCTCTGGCTGTAACCCTAAACTATTACTAGATAGATGCTGTGTCGTGCTAAAAAATTCATATTTCTCACAATATTGTTGTTTTATGCAAGGCTGCACAATAGGCTATCCGCACGCTGTTCACTGTGGGGAATCGAACCCGGCATCTTAGCATTGTAAGATCGTAAACTTGCCGCTGATCCACGTAAGACATTTCTACATTTATGACGAAAGGAGGATGAAATTGTGTACTGCCGAATCTCTGCTTACCTTCGAATGGGATGAATTCAAGTGACTGCATATTCATATATATATAATCAGTTTTCTTTTCTCTAAACAAAATAGAAATTTAGGAAGAAAGAAAAAGTCCTTCTTACATCATGATGTTTTATAACGCTAGAACGATTTTTCATTTCAGATCTTTGTTTTTGAAGTTAAGCACAAAGCTACACAATGACTATCTGTGCTCTGCCCACCACGGGTATCGAAACCCGGTTTCTAGTGTTGTAAGTCCGCAGATATACCGCTGTGCCACGTGGGGGGGGGGGAGCATTCATTTCAGAATAAAAGGAGTGGAAACATTGCGTTACTCTAAAGAATAATTCTGTATTATTTATCTTTATTGCGGTTCACATTTTTTATTGGAATCGTATCTATTTACTGTAGATTTCAGTATAAAGCTACACAGACCTTAGGTGTTAAAAGTCTACAGAATTCGTTATTATATGTTAACTTTTTTAAAGTACCCCTTTCTTTACAATCAATAGTTTAGTCTATTTCAAATTATTGCTGAAAATATTATATTTTTACTTCTTATATATTGTTCACTTGTTTTTTTTTCCTTAAGAATTCTTCAAACGAACTTTCAATTCTTTAAATTATGTTAATATCTGCATTATGCTTTACACATATAATAATAATATTTAACAATTTAAAAATCGGGAATTTTTCTCTTGGCTAATATGCAAAGAAAGCATTTTGTTTCGCTAGAACATTGCTATGATTATTATATAATAACCAATTAAACAAGCAAATAACTTCTTACAAATAATAAAGAAATCGTCTACGCAAACAATATCTGCCTTATGAACGTAAATAAAATCACGACTTATATCTCCAGAATGTAACTTAACTAGCTTGTGATCTTGTACGATATCGATAGCTCCTGAAGAAGCTATAATAGCGAAATATTAAGCTAATTAAGTTGCATTCTGGAGATATAGGTCGTGATTTTATTTACGATTAAAGAAATGTCTCATAATAAAACTCCAGTTTGCGTTAAACAAAGTTAATAATAATAACGTCTGTCCTAAATAACATGATCTTCATCATGAGAAACTTTTTACTGTTTTAGTTAAACTTTCGATAATTTCGAACAAAACACCAAATTGTGGTTACAATAAACAGAAGCACCTGTATAATAGTTTAAGCTCATATATTCAATATAGTTTTTTTATGAATAACTTTGAAACAAACACAGTATACCACAGAAAAGCTACTGGCGTTCACAATAATGCTATAATATAACAATTTCTTGGTAGTTAAAAAAATGTACCTAGTTAAGTTTATTAAAACAACAACTTATAACATTTCTGTTTCGTAATTTGTTTGGACATCCTTGATTCTAGAGTTACCTTGAAAAATTGTCCACCTTTAGTCTGTGTATTACCTGATAACTTTTTTATAAACACACCATGCCTTTAATTACAAACGCTATCATTTTCGTTTCATTTCCAGTCTTCTAAAAAGTCCTACTTAATGATAAATGAGAGAGGACAGCGTTGATGTTATGGGATCAAAAACAAATGTGGGAGAGACTGTTGTTCGCACATTAGGGCGTGAAAAAAGTACAAAGTAGCGTGCTACCATTTTATCTTAATGGAAATGGCCTTTCTTCATTAAGTGGTTGCATTTAAATAGCATCATTACCATACGGAAGAGTGTCGAATTCCGATTATATTTGAATTAGTTTTACTCTGGTTTAGTTGAAGAAAGAATATTAGTTAAATACAGTGAAGTTTCTAGAAGAACGCAAGAGCGATTTGCATCTGAAAGCGATATACCGAGCACATGGGTTGAAAAACTTCAGCTTTCGACAAGACTGTCTCGCCACAGTACGCCCACCGTGTCGGTACTTAATTCATTTTTAGAATTACAAGGATAACAGGATATTTTTGTTTTACATAAAACATGGTAATTTAGTAAATATAGATCCCTCCTTTTCGTGATCAGCTGGAAAAAAATGGGTTTAAAACTGGCTTCCATGACAACATTACATTGGTTAGCTACTGAAA